TATATACTATGTTGCATGGCCCTGGAAAAATCCAGTATTTTGTCAATACCATAGTTTGCTAAATCTTTGCTGGGAAGAAGAGCATGTTCATACAGTTATGTTACTAAAAAGGAACTGTGTTTAATTTCATGGCTAAAGAAATACAGTCATTGAAAGCACAAACTATTATTTAGCAATACAAAATATTTCAGGCAGCCAATTTTACTCTGTATTGCTTGTAATAACAGTATACCAATAATGGTATAAATTTGATTTTTTTTTTTTTCTCAGAGCATTCAATTCCTGTTAAAATTGCCATTATGTCATCTTTTTTGTATTACTTAAAGATTTTGAATTCAAGGGTCAGTTATTCATTTATTTATAGATAATAAAGCTATATTTATTATAGAAATGGATTTCACCACAATATTTAAATTTATCTATAACAATAGGTGTTGCAGAGAGAGCTCTTGAATGAAATTAGAAGACGGGTTACAATAATTTTTTAATCCCAGTGCAATTTCTGTTATTTGTCCTCTCTGGATTTAGGGTCTTTTGACAGCACTCTTGTCTGTTGCACCTGTTTTAAGCATCATGGGGTGGAAATTCATTCTGAGAAAGTCTTTTGAATTGCTCTGTGAACAGAAATTTTCCTTTTATCCTCTTTTTTGAAATGAATGCTATGAAAAAATAGGAGATGAAATTTATTTGTAATCACTGTCAGTAGAATTATGTCTCAAGCAAGATTTGTATCCTGGAATTAACATTTGAATAATTAAATTCAGTCTTTACATTTAACATGCTCTCAAGAAAATAATGTAATCCTTGTAGCTTCTTTGTTCAAAGATGTAATAGTGATGCTTGTTTAAAATTAACCTCTTAAGAAATTGCCTTTCAATCTTAACATTTCATTGGATCTTGTACAAAAAGAAAATCCCTCTGCTGTTGAATAAAAACAGTCCTGCCTGTATCTGCTTATATGTATGGAATTTTGTCGCATTATGGCACAAAGTTGCTGACTGATAGGTAGGCATGTAGCAGTAGCACTATCCTCAATGACTTCTTCACAAATGGTTATAACTAGAACCAAGATTTTGAAGCTGTATTATCTTATACTAAAGCTCATGTAGCCCACAGAGTTGGGAAGGTGTACAAGTCAGATTTATATGAATATTACATTCTCAAAATAAGAAACAAATAATTTTTATCTCCTGTTCTTGGTGAAAGTGCTTTAATATTATGTTGTGTTAAAAACATTTGTTTCACTTAGGTCTTTTCTAAGTGTTAGGTAGAAGATTCCCTACTGGTGCTGCTGTTAAAGTTTTCATACCTGAAGACAGCCTTTTTTCTTTTTTTTTTTTTTTTCCCCTGCTTACTGCAAGAAGTAATAAAAAAAAAGTTTGTTTTAGGAAACTGGTTTATTGATTTTTACCATCCTCCATGGCTGGCTGTGGTGTTTCATCCGTCAATGATGTAGTCTTCTGTAGTGTTCAAGTATGCAAGTGAAGCAATCCTAGCTGGGGAAGAGTTTGAGTGGTGAGCAGAAAAACAGCTCAACTGTGAAGGAGCTGAAGGGATTTTGGGAGTAAGTTTTTTGGATAACTCTGGTTTTTGTTACTTTGGAAACTTAGATATAAGCCTAGAACAGGCATATGAATACCACTGACTCTTTTCTCTTTACATTGATGAAGAAATCATAGCATTGGTAATATAGACTTGATTCCCCTTTTGGATTTGTAACCAATTGTTTCAGCTTTCATTATCACGAGTACAAATTATTTTATAGCATGTTATTAATATTTTGTTAAGGCTTTTTTTCTGACTGTATTTGACCTTGTAGAGTCTGTGATCAGGATGCAGAATAATGAGAGTTCATGTAATTTGCTCTTCTTTAAAATTACTGCTCAACTCCTGTTTCTTTGCTGGGCATCTCCAAAAAAACCAAAACAAAACCCCAAAAGAGAAGAAAAGCAATTTAACAATGATTTGTGGATATTTTTTTAAATATCAGCTTGGGCTTGGATACTTTTTTGTTCAAGAGAATCCTGTGTAATATGTAAAAGTAGATTTAGCTGTCATCTCAGCATCAAAATTACTTGCATACATTTTTACAGCTCATGTGTCAGCTTCTTAAGTTGGGGGGAGGTTAGTTTTTCCCTGCAGTTATTAAAGTGTAGACAAAAATAAGAAGTCAAATGGCTATACTCTAGGTAACGTTTATAGTTCTTGTAATTACAGAATTAAATCCAGTTAGTGGAATTTCAGTTAAAATGTTGAGTAATATGGAGTAAAGAAGTTGTGCAGCACCTACTTCTCTCAAAAACCTTGGTTGCTATACAGCGTTAAGATTCCTTGTTGTAACTCAAAGGATTTTAAATCACGCTGCAATTACAAAGGAATATAATCTAAAACATGCCTGTTGACAGAAGCTCAGCCTGCTAAGGCTTTTAAAATGAGTTACTTGATTTACACAGGTGCTGTGTATTTACAGTTCCTTGCTTGGCTATTTGGTTGTCTGGTGGAAATGCAAGTCAGAAAACACTCAATTAGTTTAAAAGTCAGTCTAGGGTTGTTAATATGACTTTTGACTAAAATGTGGCCCACTCAAATAGCTTGTGTCAAAACTATTGGAGTGGGATAGTGGTTGAATATTATTTGTCCAAAATACAGTCAAGAATTGTCTTAACAATTTTTCTGGTCCATCAGTACTTAGCTATGCCTGTTCCAAGAACTGTTCTTGTTTCTTGAATCCTTATGTCTAATGGTGGGATGACATTTTGCACTCTTTTGTGGTAGTGTTCTGCAGTAGAAGAAAGGGGGAGAGGGAGGAGTACACAAATTCACCACCACTGAGCCAAATTTTAGTATGTAGGAGAACGTAAAAATTAGACAGCTTGTTAAAGAATGGCAGCTAAGATAATTCTGAAAGAAGTCATAACTACTATTGAATATTTCTTCTAGCACACAAATGGCTGAAAATGTGCTGGCTAGCCTGTAGGACAACTGATGACTGGGATATAAAAGACAACTCGAGAAAGCTAGAAGAAAGTGTGTAGGTTCCCAAACTGTGGAACTCTCCTGGCTGGGAGACACATGGAAAGAGACTGTCTGTAGTTGAAGGAATCATGAAGTTACAGCAAAAATGGGCAGGTTGAGCATTGCCAGGACTGGTATTCATTAAGAGCTCTGAGGAAATTTAGAAGTAAAATAGCTGGGTTTCTAACAGTAGTGTGCAGTTTTTCAGTCCTGTAGTACTAGAAGCTGTAACTGTGGTGCCAAAACCCAATTTCTCTGGGGACCTTGAGAACTAGAAGCAGGTTAATGTGGTGTCTCTGCCAGAAAAATTAATAGAAATTGTAATAAAATTTCTGTAATGTGGAGTTTTGCTTTATAGATTTCTTGTAGGTTTTTTTTAAGAAACAGCAAACCCAATCAAGTCAGTAATTGATTGGGCATGGATGAATGGCCATGGGCATGGCCAAAACCAGGAGGCAGACAGTTGGAAAAAACTTATGCTAGTGATACAGAGTGTTCAGGCTAGTAAGGAGGAGGGCTAATGGGGGGGGGGCGGTTTGTTTGCTTGCTTGTACCTAATTCAGCACCGTGTGGGGGGGGGGGGAAGGAGAAAGGCCTTATGAGATGTAGTAATTATGTAGTAAAATGTCAGATGATATTCATTGTAGGTAAAAACAAAATGATGCAAGTAGAAAAAGCAGCCCTATGTTGTCATACAAAATGAGAGGCTTTGAGCAGACTATTAGCACTGAGGAATAAGACCACGCAGTTATGTGATAACATCAACTTGTTGCTAGGCAGCAGATCAAAAAGCAAATGAAATACTAGGAATTATTATAAAAGGAATAGAGAACAGGACATAATTATGACAATGCATAAATTACGTGGCTCACGCACAAGTTGAGTATCGTGTGCAGCTCTTCTCCTATCATCTCAAAATAGTTGCATTAATGCTGGAAAATGTTCAGAAAAGAACAGTGGGGGTGATGGAGTTGATTTTCTGTAAGGCACAATTAAGTAGACTGGAGTTCTTCAAGAAAGAAATTCTGGGAATGAGTAAATCACTAGAAGTGCAGAGAGGGCAGAGAAGGATGGAGAACAAGATGAATTAGGGACTATGTGTTGAACCTCACAGGAGCCAGGTTCAAAACAAACTAGAGGAAGCACTTTTTCAGGCAGTGACTAGTAAAGATGCTACCAAAAGACCCTCAGGGTGCAAGAAGCTAACGGTGCTTGGGGCAGGCTGGATGCGTACTTGGAAAAAAGGTACAGTGCATGCTGATGTATAGACAAATCACTACACAGCAAACCACAAGGGTTTAGAATATGGAGTATGAAGGCAGAGGAAGGCGTTGTTTATGGTTGATCTTTTTGATTGTTTGTTATATGTAACTTGTGGACACTTATACAGTTAGAATACAGGACTATGCTGAAATAATAAACCTTTAGCCTTGTCCCAGTTCTCAGAGGTGAAAAATAAAGTCTGTGATAAAAATTAATATCATGCTGTTTCAGACAAATCCTAAAAAACATTACCAGATACATTAATCTTAAAATTATCTGATATTTCATTACAGGGATAAGCAAATTTTTACAAGTCTCTGATAGTGACGTGAATTTTCAGAACCTGTAAAGGTGTCCCATTCAATTGCCTCAAAAGGTTTCTTAAAGCATGAAATAATATACACTTAGGCAAAAGTGTGTCTTAGCTGTAGAATTTTCTCCCCTTGCAAGAAAACTAATTTCTTAATAGACCTAAAGTGCTTTAGAATCTCTCTGCAGAAAAAAAGAAAGATTTATCAGTTACCCTAAAGGTTCCTTTATTAAAATATGTGAATTGTAAACTGTTAGTTGGAGGAATTGTTTTGTAGATGACAGTTCTGCATTGCCAGTTTGATAACCATGATTCTGCAGTACTAATATTCAAAGGACTTCCGTAAAAGAAGGTGGAAGGTCTTCTATAAAAGCAAAACCGTTCTTTATGAGAACTTTGTTTCCATATACAGATAGCCATTTGGAAGAATTTCCTACTCTCCTTCACTGCGCAGCCAGGTTTGGATTAAGGAAACTTGCAACATTGCTGCTCAATTGTCCTGAGGCTATGCGAGCTTGCAAGATAACCAACAAATATGGAGATGATCCAGCAAGTATTGCTGAGAAGCATGGGCACAGGGACCTAAGAAAATTAATCAGAGAATTGTCAGTAAGTCCATATGGTTTTTTTTCTATGTCGTTTCTAACCAGGGAACTACGATGATGTACTACAGAGATCACATGTTATCGCCTCTTGTAAAGCCTAATATTTTTTAGTCCTTCTGTCTGAAAATTTTATTATACTCCTTTTGTCTCAGAAAGAGGGGGTCAAAATGGGGTACAGCCACTTTCTTTGTGCATCATTGTAATGGAGATCAGGTTTTTGCACTGCTTATATTTTAGGCATGTAATGGAAAGGGAACAGTGAATCAGAAGTAGCTCATGTGGCTTAGCTAGATTGGTGCTTTCAGCACCCAAACAGTGCCTGTATTGTAAGTAGTTTAGACAAACCTTCTAGAGTATGAGATAAAGACTACTTTAGCAGAGTTCAGAATCACTTCTAGCATTGCCACTCTTGAGCATTCAACAAAGGGTGGTTGCCCTGCCTTGGCTGCCCACTCCACTGTGAAAGAAGGCTAAATCCTTGTTAGATGGAGCAAATCTTTCTTCAGCCAGGTATGCAGGAGGGGTTTTGGGCAATAGCTGCTTTTCCACATGAAAGATAGTGGTAGAATGTAGGTCTATGCATAGTTCTAGCATGGAAATTATTACCAATAAAATCTAACAGAATTGGTAGTATAAAAAGAAATATACTGTAGTAATGTTTGAGAGCTTGAACCTATTTTAAGTCTTCATTGTGCTAAATATAATATTAGCAGAGGTGGTAATTCTTTCCCCAGAGGTTCTAAAGACTAGAGAAAATTTCAGGTAAATCATATATCCAAAGAAAGACAGGATATGAACATTGGTGTTAAGTAAGCCTGTGTTGTGAAAGCCTGGTGCAGCTTTGCTGATGGTGTGACTTTTTTTTACTTTTTGTTTGTTTTTGGTGCCAAACTCCATGTTCGCAGACAAATGCTAACAACGGATATTTAAGAGGAGAAAATACAGGAGTGAGAAAGCCAGAAGTTTCACTTTTCTATTAACCAGTCATCTTGGTATAAACATGGATAGACATAAGACCAAAGATGCCATTTGAAGAAATGTAGAGTGGAATGTTTTGCATGACTGAGGAAAATGCAAGAAACTTAAGGGTAGTTTAATGTAGAAAGACTTATCGTAAGGAATGGAAACACTGGTTGACTGAGGTGAAATTACTTACCAGAACTCTAGAACAAGGTCATATGGATTGGTAAAGATTTTTCTTTGATATAGTTGGCACCTAGTGTGAAGGTGAAGGACAGGTATTGGAAAAACTGAAGACAAGTTGACTGTGACCAGTGTTGAACCATGAAGATGGCTTTAGCAGTGTCTTATGAGCAGATTTTTTTATTTTTTTTTCAATGAGTTCAAGGGAACAAATTTGCAGACCCTAGAGCCTGAAGGTAAGGCATTTTGGCAACGGTCAAGATGCTGGATGAGAATGCTATTTAACTTGTTGAACAGCTATCGATACAGGCTCTGAAAACACTGAGGGTGGGAGAACATCTGCCAAGCAGGTATTTCTCTTTTTCTAATACTGTTAAAGAAAGTCCATACCTAACTGAGGATGTGATTTAGTGTCTTTTCTGAAGTGGCAGAATATCTTCTTGCATTTACTGGACGATGAATCTGATCAGATCTCAAAAGCACCGCAAAGCTTTTTCTATTGATGGAGTGCAAAGGGGTGTTTACCTCAGTTTTTGATACTGTTGAGTAGTTGAGATCAAATTTAGCTGAAGAAAATATGATCCTCTTTACCATCCAGCATAAAGCTGACCACAAAACCAGGCTGTCTTCCTGGATCAGCATGTTACTAATTTCACATTTAACAATTTCTAATTGCCATAGTTGTCTCACAGTCACCCAAGCAGTAGTCGGAGAACTCGTGCAAGTAGCAGTCTGATGTATAAGGTCAGGCCCCTCAGCTCTTGGAGTTTAATAGTTTGCCCTGAAGAGAGTGAAACAGCGTTCCCCAACATCCATACTTGTGGATCTGGCTAGATCTTTGTATGGTCAGGTACCCTCAGTACATGCTATGTTTAAAGGATTGGTAAAACTAGGCAGAATATGAATAAGGTGATATTTACCTCTCAGTGAGACACCTAGACTTCTTTTCTAAGATGGTCATATGAGTCAGAGTTGAGCATGGAAGCATAGTTTCTATGGTTAATTTACTGTGTTTAATGATAATGGTTAATTCCATGGGACACTTACTTTTTATGCTACACCCCTGCACTTCACATGTGTTTTTGCTGTGCACCCTACATGGAACTGGATACTTCAGAAAATGAATCGTTTTCTTTTTATCCTTAGAAATGTACTCATGTTCAACCTCGTGCTATAGTTTGGGGCCTCTGTAAGAGGATATATAAGCACATGTGATACAGGCAGACTACAACTGATATGCGCTGAGAGTGTTACACTTGCAGTATTTTTATATTTTGGTAGACAGTGACATTAGGCAGTGTTTGTGATGGTGATATATTTCACTCTAAAAAGCATGCAAAGTATGTGTATAGGTCTGATTAGGTTTTCTTTTTTAGTAGGATTATTAATTGTCCTAGTAAAGTCTCAGTATAAAATCATCAATCAAACATATAAATGGATTTATAATGGTTACTCTGGCTTTATACATGGTAATTTTTCATTAAAAGGGTTCCTTCATGGTACATATCTGCTATTGTTTGCACGTAAATAGTTAACGTTAGTTGTTCTCTGTTCATGATGACTGCTCTCCCAAGTGTGAATACTTACACCACCACTGAAAGCAACTCTACTGCCATTGTAAGCATGTGTAGTCTGGTTAGGGCATGCAGTTACACTGCCTGTTTTCAGTTGATTCAAATGGCATGGATTACTAATGCAACATAGGTAAAAACTGGAGCATGCTTCAAGTCTGCCAAATGTGTGATATGGTATCTTCGAAATGTTAGCTCCAACTGCTGCAAGAAAAATGGCTTATTTGTGTCCTCTTTAATAGTGCACTAGAACAAAACTGCTTACTGTACTTCAGTAATTGATGGGAATGTGGAAAAGAAATATTTGCATGGCTCTGAGCCAAGCAGAATTTAGTTTAAACACATTTCAGGAACTTCCCTTTACAGCTGAAATATTGAAATTGCTCGTTATTACGATAGAAGTACTTCTGTATGTGGCATACCTCTCACTGTTATGGTTACCTGTGTTTTGCCATTTCTTTAAGGAATAGCCCCAAAATATATACTGTAATTCATCGTTTCTATCTCAGAGAAGTAGGGTTCCAGAAAAATGAGTGTATTAAAACGTACATTCAATTTGTCCAAAATCCTGGAAAGTGTTTTTCATTTGCCTTTGTGATGGAGTATCCTTAGGGAAGTAAGAATTGCCTGAAATGGTTATAGAAAGCAAGAGCAGCAAAAGAAGTGGCAATACCATGGCTACTATTTCTACCTGCAAGCCGAGGGCTTTGCAGTGCCCTCTTTGGTGTCTGGTGAGCAGATCTGTGCTAAGGACTTCTTGATGCAACTTTGCTGGTAAGGACGTTCAGCTTCCATGGCCAGCAGGCTCATGGGAAAGGTGCTCAGGTCTCTGTTGGCAAAAGCAAGCTGTAGGACCTGCTGACTTGCACACAGGGCCATTGTATGGCATAAATTCCCTGTCCTTCTTTAAAGGGAAAATGTCTTTCTGGAACTGGACACTGACAGTGTTGATGTGAGGAGTGTTACAGCCACAGATCTGGAGTGCCTGGTGGGCTTGCTGGGAGCCAGTCTCCTGATCTGCATCAAAACAAAGCAGAATGGAAGGATCATGTAACATGTGGCATGCTTCTGTTGATACAGCTCTGTGAATGGTGGGGAAGGCAATTTTCCCCTTTTAGTACCAATATTATATGCAGGGTCATTCAATTCAAAGACATCACACCCTTTGAGAACCTGTATAAATGTGTGCTTCCACAAGTGGTAGTGGCTGCCTTCTGTTAGAAATTCTGCGTTTGAAACACTCCTTGAAAATGTCTCCTTTGTGCTGAGGGAATGCTGCAAGACTTGATCCATTTGTGTTAAAGGTACTAAATTGATGGAGCTGTCCCTAAAAAAGTCTTTAATAGGGATTATGATAAAGCAAATTTTATTTCTGAAATGTCAAGCTATATGTTTATAAGTCTTAGTGAACTTAAAGGATGGGCAGGGATGTAGGTTGACAAGTAATTCACCATTGTACATCTCTCCCCTCTCATGTCTGTCTTATTTTGGAGTGGTTGAACTAGAATACAGAATTTCTTCTAGTATCTTCAATTTGATGAAATAGAAAAGAATCTACAAAAAAAGTGTATTGTAGAAATTGAGGGTACTTTTTTCCTCAGTTTTTTTATGCTAGAAGAATCTTAACTGACTTTGTAGCTACTATCACCAAATGACAATAAATCTTTAGATGGCAAAAATCCCTCCAAGGGTCCTCATGATTTGCTAGGGAGTTCTGGAAGGTCATTGAGGAATCAGCTTTTTTGAGCACAGAAGTATTATTCTTCTATTTACATTTAGCTTTGTTTCTGTAAAAGGCTACATGATATGGCAGAGCTCCTCAGCATGAAACTATTATATTTTTTAAATCTGGTTGCGATATCTGCCTGAGCTGTGAATTTGCTGCTGGGGAAGGACCATGTGTAGACAGATGAACTTGGGATATATATTAGACTCTTAAATTAATTTGGTTGCTATCAGTATTTGTTTAATTACTTTAAATGCTACTGTAGTATTGCAGTGGCCCATAGCTCATGACTTTCAAGTAGCTGGAAGAGTATGTGAAAGAGAAAAAGATTAGTCTGGCTTCTGAAATTCCTGTTAATCCACTAGTGATTCCTCAGTGAGGCCAGCTGGGATTTTATTCTTGCCACAATATTTTAACACTCCGAAATGTTGGTTACATGCATCCTTTGGTACACTGCAAGTTACTTAACTGAAATGTGTAAGTGAACATATTCTTTGATACATCTGTAGTGGCTGGATATTCACAAATCAAATTCTTAAACTTCTTGAGGAATTGGACCTAAAT